CGTCGGCTTGGGGACTGAAGGGTACCGTGTTCGATTCCGGTCAAGGGCATGTGCCTTGGTTGCAGGCATATCCCCAGTAGGGGATGTGCAAGAGGCAGCTGATTGATGACTCTCTCTCATCGATGTTCCTAACTATCTCTCTCCCTCCCTCTCTGTATAAAATCAATAAAATATATATTTAAAAAAATTAATTAAGAAGTGACCAGTTTGGCTCAGTGGATAGTGTCGGTCTGCGGACTGAGGGGTCCCGGGTTAGATTCAGGTCAAGAACATGTACCTTGGTTGTGGGTACATCACAGTGGGGGTATGCAGGAGGCAGCTGACCGATGTTTCTACCCCTCCCTTCCTCTCTGTAAAAAACTAATAAATATTTTTTTTAAATCAATTAAAATATAAAAAAGTAAGAAATATTAAAACATATTCCAATACATAAAAATGTTTACTTCAAAAAGTGAAAAAGGCCGGGACCGGTTTGGCTCAGTGGATAGAGCGTCGGCCTGAGGACTGAAAGGTCCCGGGTTCGATTCCGGTCAAGGGCATATACCTTGGTTGCGGGCACATCCCGAGTAGGGGGTGTGCAAGAGGCAGCTGATCGATGATTCTCTCTCATCGATGTTTCTAACTCTCTATCCCTCTCTCTCTTCCTCTCTGTGAAAAATCAATAAAACATATATTTAAAAAAAAAAAAAAAAGTGAAAAAGGCACAAAATGCCTGAAATTCCAACATCCATCTTTGTCGTTCCATTGTGTTTTTGTTGAAGAAAATGGCCAAACTCATAACACTTGAGGCAGAATATATAGTAAGATTTTTCAAAAATACATTTTTAATTGATTTTTTTTTAACAGAGAGGAAGAAAGAAGGAGATTTAGAAACATCAATGAGAGAGAAACATCGATCAGCTGCCTTTTGCACACACCCCACTGGGGATGTGCCCGCAACTGAGGTACATGCACTTGACCGAAATCAAACCTGGGACCCCCACCAGTCCGTAGGCCAATGCTACATCCACTGTGCCAAACGAGCCAGAGCTATGGTAAGATTTTTAAAAAAATATATTTTATTGATTTTTTTACAGAGAGGAAGAGAGATAGTTAGAAACATTGATGAGAGAGAATCATCGGTCAGCTAACTCTTGCACACCCCCTACTGGGGATGTGCCCACAACCAAGGTACATGCCCTTGACCAGAATCGAACCTGGGACCCTTCAATCCGCAGGTTGACGCTCTATCCACTGATCCAAACCGGTTTCGGCTATGGTAAGATGTTTTAACAAAGATACAGACTCAACAAATACACTTCTGAGAAACGGTTCACCATAAATTCTTAGAAAAAACACAATCAAACAAAAGTGAGGTAGAATGACAAAATGACAGAATATCTATATATGTAAAAGGCTGCCCTAACACAGTTTGGCTCAGTGAATAGAGTGTTGGCCTGCAAACTCAAGGGCCCCAGGTTCAATTCTGGTCAAGGGCATGTACCTTGATCTTACACCTATCAGAATGGCTATCATCAACAAATCTGCTGGCTAGGATGCGGAGAAAAAGGAACCTTTGTGCACTGCTGGTGGGAATGCAGACTGGTGCAACCACTGTGGAGAACAGTATGGAGTTTCCTCAAAAAACTGAAAATGGAACTCCCATTCGACCCAGTAATCCCACTCCTAGGAATATATCTTAAGAAACCAGAAACACCAATCAAAAAGGATATATGCACCTCTATGTTCATAGCAGCACAATTTACAATAGCTAGGATTTGGAAACAGCCTAGGTGCCCATCAGCAGATGATTGGATCAAAAAACTATGGTACATCTACACAATGGAATACTATGCTGCCATAAAGGAATTCTTATTTGCAGCAACCTGAAATTGGAGAACATTATGCTGAGTGAAATAAACCAGTCAATGAAAGAAAAACAGCACATGATCACACTCATTTATGGATAATAAGGAACATTATAAACTGATGAACAAAAAGATAGATATAGAGACAGTGAAGCGACAAACAGACTGTCAAATTACAGTGAGGATGGTAGGGAGATCTGGGGGAGATAAGAGATCAACCGAAGGACTTGTATGCATGTATATAAGCATATCAAATGGACACAAAACTCTGGGGAGGGAGGGCATGTATAGGAGTGGGGGTGGGAATTGGTAAGATATGTACACATATAATACCTTAATAAAAAAAAAAGAAAGAAAAAATAAAATAAACAATTATAATTAAAAAAAAAAAAGGGCATGTACCTTGGTTGCATGCACATCCTCAATAGAAGATGTGCAGGAGGCAACTGATTGATGTTTCTCTCTTATTGATGTTCCTAACTCTCTATCCCTTTCCTTTACTCTCTCTAAAAAATCAATAAAATATATATTTTTAAAAAATAAAAAGCTAATATGCAAAATGTCCTCTCTAGAGTTCGACCAGGAGATCAGAAGTTCAATCACTCACTATGAGGTGTACTGAACACCAGGAGCTGGCAGCCAGCAAGAAGGCCCCAATTGACCCTGATTGCTGGCCAGGCATAGGGACCCTATCCATGCATGAATTTTGTGCAGTAGGCCTCTTGTCTTATATACTAAAACCATAATATGCAAATTGATCAAACAGCAGAATGACTGGTTGCTCTGATGTGCACTGACCACCAGGGGGCAGATGCTCATTGCAGGAGCTGCCCCCCTGATATTCAGTGTGCTCCCACAGAGGGAGCACTACTCGGCTAGAAGCTGGGCTCAGGGCTGATGAGCACAGTGGCAGTGGTGGATGCCTCTCCCACCTCCATGGCAGCACTAAGGACCCTCCAGGGGTACCGACAAGCAAGAGGGCACAGGCCAGGCTGAGGGTATGCAGGCGCAGCGTGGCCAGGACGCCTGCTATGACGGGGGAGGGCAGCAGAGAGAGCTATAGAAGTGGTCCTCCGGCCAGGAGCAAGGACTTACAGGCTCCTGTGCAGCCGGGAGTGAAGCCAAAAGAAAGGCCTATTCTTGCATGAATATCGTGCAACGTGCCTCTAGTCTATGTATATAAAAGCCTAAGCTACTGGTCACCATGATATGCAGCAACCACCAAGGGCAGACGCTCAGTGCAGGAGCTGCTCCCTGGTGGTCAGTGAGTTCCCAAAGCAGGCGTGCAGCTCAGCTTACCTATGGGGCTAGATGCCAGGCTCCCAGCTGGCAAGCGCAGCTGAGAAGGTGCAAGCATCTCCCGGGGTCTCTCCCCCTACAGGCCTGTACCTCATTCTGTCCAGGAATGAGAGTGCTGCTTCTCCGTCATGGGCGTGCCAGGATCACCCTAGAATGGGTGTGCAGAGACCACAGTGGTGTAGCACCAAAGCTACCAAGCGCCAGTGGCAGGAGTAGTGGGACCGGGATGAGTGGGAGCATCAGGGCACTTGACCCTGGCTCAAGCTTCTCCCTGGCCACCTCCCGCATGGTACTTGAGAGATGTTGGAGACCAGTTTCAGATCAATCTGCTCAGGCCACACCGAGGGACCTCACCAGTGCGCAAAACTGTGCACCAGGCCTCTGGTTGAGTAGAATGATGGTTTCAGTTTCACGAACATACCATGATTTATGAAACGGTATACCTAACCTATACTTTACTCATTGTATCTTTTTAAAAATGATTCAAAATTTGAAAATGTGTATGTTCAACTATTCTGGCAAATCTATATCCAATCCACCTTCTTATGCACTCTGGGCGAGAGCCTTGCATCAGTGACAGAAATGTAGCAAACAATGAAGAACTTTCACCCAAACCAACAAGAATGCTGGCTGGGTCACAAAAGCCACATCGCTAGACTGCAAACACCTTTTGCTTCGTCTTTGTATTTTTGCCAAGGCACTGATGGCTCTGATGGGAACATCTGAGAAGATACAGGAAGTCACAAAACCTCTTGATTATAATCAATGACAATAACTGTGTCCACCGAAGATAAACATGCCTGCAGATATGTGTACTGGTACACACCGTTTCTGTTGACTTCTCCTCAGAAGCGTTCCTGGATACACATTTATTTATTTATTTATTTAAATATATATTTTATTGATTTTGTACAGAGAGGAAGGGGAGAGCTAGAAACTCGATGAGAGAGAGTCATCGATCAGCTGCCTCCCGCACACCCCCCCCGGGGACACGCCCACAACCAAGGCACATGCCCCTGACCAGAACCGATCCCGGGACCCTTCAGTCCCCAAGCCGACGCTCCATCCATTGAGCCAAACCGGCCTTGGCTGGATGCACGTTTAGATGAGGACCATTCCATCTGATGGGCTGCAGTCCCCAGAAAAACTCATTAGGTCAGTGTTTCTGTAGTGAAATGATATCCCCTAACTTCTATTGTCCTCCAACCAGTGACAATCACCCATGGAATTATAGGATGTAGGTCTCATGGCACTCTGCAATACCTGGGCAAGAGATTCAAGTGCATGGACATCCCCGGAAAAACAAGAAAAAAACTCACACTGCTAAAAAATATACTTGAGGTTGTCATAGCAACCTGCTCTTTGGAGTGATCTCTGTGTCTCAAAGCATCCATCTTCACAGAGGACTAGAGTGTCCAATGTGTTTCCTAGGAAAATATGGGCAGCAATGAAAAACTGGCAAAAACTGCTGGGGAAATTTCTGCACCATACTGTTCCCTCTAAGACAAAATATGTTTGAGACCCCTTATGTTTTTCAGCTCATCATACTAGTAGAGCCCAGATCTCCTTATAAGCTAACTCACAAGTAAGCAGCAAACAGAAGGTTTAAAAAGTCTTAGGGAAAAGCCTTCATTATTTTACAAACCAAAGAGACATGAGACTGGCAGTTCTTGTATTGATCACTGAGGCACTCAATAAACTCATCACTGGCATCTAGGGAAAATGTGCTCTTGAGAATGGCACTAGCTCTACAATACTATGTTTTCTGGGCCAATACTAAGTCCTATGTGCCAGAGGGAAAATTAAAAACTAAGGGCTCAGGTGTTCTGAAGTTGATTCAACAAACTACTCAACAGAGTTAGCTTCCCTGGGCACAAGAGGAAGGTGATCCATACCATCTGTAGGGGCTTTATAGGCGGTTCAGGTGAAATACCTTCAGCAACAGAAATATGCAGTGACATACACTGAGTGGCCATATTATTATGATCTCTGAATGCATAATTGGGCCATTCAATGAGTGTGTGTGTGTGTGTGTGTGTGTGTATGTGTATATATATGTATTATATATTAAGAGGCCCAGTAAATGAATTCGTGTATGAGTGGCCAGCCTGGCCAGGAGGAGGGGATATGGGCAGTTGGCTCGCTTATCTGCTAGTCAAACTCCTAGTCGAAGGAAAATTTACATATTAGCCATTTATTATATAGGATATACACTGAGTGGCCAGATTATGATGCGTTCAGAGATCATAATAATTTGGCCACTTCAGTGTAGATCTGGCAACATGTCTTTGTATGTTATAAAGTAAAATATAGATACATGGTTCCAACATAAAAACAAATAACAAAAATGCTTATGGGGACTTTACCTAATGTAGGTGATTACATGTATGAGATATGTTTCCTACACATCTAAATAATTACTCACATTTGGACTCATATGTGCAGTGCAAATTTAGAAATTTGGCTGAGACAAATCTCATGCTATTTGCACCCATAAAGGTTTTCTCCAGTGTGAACTCTCCAATGATACTGTAGACAATTGCTACTTTTAAAAGATTTTTCACATTCACTACATTTATAAGGCTTTTCTCCAGTGTGAGAACACTGATGATAACGGAGGCTACTCCAACTGGTAAATAATTTCCCACATTCACTGCATTTATAAGGCTTTTCTCCAGTGTGAAATCTCTGATGACGAATAAGCTCACTGCTAGTGATAAAAGCTTTCCCACATTCACTGCATTTATAAGGCTTTTCTCCAGTATGAGCTCTCTGATGACGCAGAAGGGCAGTGCTCCAGGTAAAAGATTTCCCACATTCGCTGCATTTATAAAGCTTTTCTCCCCTGTGAACTCTCTGATGACGATGAAGGTGTGAGGTCGTGATAAAAGATTTTCCACAGTCACTGCATTTATAAGGCTTTTCTCCAGTGTGAACACACTGATCGTAATGGAGACTACGTGCACTGGTAAACGATTTTCCACACTCATTGCATTTATAAGGCTTTTCTCCAGTGTGAATTTTCTGATGACAATGAAGGCCAGTGCTACTGCTAAAAGATTTCCTACATTCTCTGCATTTATAAGGCTTTTCTCCAGTGTGAATTCTCTGATGACAATGAAGTTCACTGCTAGTGGTAAACGATTTTCCACACTCACTGCATTTATGTGGCCTTTCTCCAGTGTGAACTCTCTGATGACGACGAAGGTCAGTGCTCCTCAGAAAAGACTTCCCACATTCACTGCACTCATAAGGTCTTTCTCCAGTGTGAACTTTCAGATGATAATGGAGGCCATTACTACTGGTAAAAGCTTTTCCACATTCACTGCACTCATAAGGCTTTTCTCCAATGTGACCTTTCTGTTGAAAGCTAGAAAATTTGCTGAAATGTTTTCCATATTCACAGCATTCAAAACACTGACTTTCAGTATGCATATCCTTTCCATGAACGAACATGTGGTTGCAACTGATATCTGTCTTACATTCGTTTCTGGTGTAATAATTTGTTCTCCTTTGAAATGTCATCCCATGCATTGTAATCGGATTTGGACTGTCTCTGGTCTGAGTAGCCCTTAGGTGGAGATGTCCAGTAAGGACACCTGGCTCAACCTCCCCATATGCGAATTGATTCTGGGACACATTTAAATTGGAGCTGTCTCTAAGTAAGATCCTGTCCACACCTCTAATGAAAGTCTTCTCTCTCACATGCTGTTGGTGAAATTTCGCACTGAAGTAAAACCGTTTTGCACATGCCCCACAGCTCAACAGTATCTGTCTGTGTTGTGTTCCCTGTAGCTCCATCATGTGGAAAATATTTCCCAACACTAGCCCACAATTCTCACAGGGGTGGCTCTTCTGGGAAGACAAGGCTACCTTGGGATTCCTTGCCTGTGACACTCTTACAGAAACCTTCTGTTCAGTCGGTACCTCCACATTCTCTGCTCCACAGCAGCAACCTAAAGAAAAGGAAATGCTGGTGAAGGGCATGTTGACCTTTCGATATCAGAATAACTTCACCACAAGTGCTTATCTGTCCCTGACTAGGCATAATTCCATAGGATTATTTTAAAGAAAAGTTAGACTCGGATGAAATGGCTATTATACCATGTCTTGGCCCCAATGGTGAGAATCTCACCAAGTGAGGGACAGAAGCATAGCATGGGATACAAAGAAGAGAGGAAGGATCTGCTAGTTGTTCCTCCACAAATGGCTTCCTTTAGCCCCTTTCAGCTGGTGAAGTGAGTCTGTGTAGAATAATTTGAATGTGCTCAAACCAAAAGAAATCAATTCTATTGGGTCGGCAAGTAAGTAATTGCGGGTTTCACACATATATGGCTTCAGTTGAATTTTTAGGTTTGTAGACGTAGTAAAAATGTAAAACACATTTTGTTATTTGATAGTTGGCTATTCAGCTGTTAATCAGTAAAAAAAGTTTTTTGATCTGTTTTGTAGTTTTCGTTTGGCGTTCGTTGAAAAATGGAAAATCAAAAGGAACATTTTCGTCATATTTTGATTTTTTATTTCCACAAAGGGAAAAACGCATCGCAAGCTCATAAAAAGTTATGTGCTGTTTATGGTGACGAAGCCTTAAAAGAACGGCAGTGTCAAAATTGGTTTGCCAAATTTCGTTCTGGTGATTTTTCACTCAAAGATGAAAAATGCTCCTGTTGTCCAGTTGAAGTTGATGACGCCCTAATCAAAGCAATAATCAATTCGGACTGTCACAGTACAACACGTGAGATTGCAGAGAAGCTTCATGTATCACATACATGCATTGAAAATCACTTAAAACAACTTGGCTATGTTCAAAAACTCGATACATGGGTTCCTCACGAACTGAAAGAATCACAGTTAACGCAACGCATTAGCAGCTGCGATTTGCTAAAGAAACGTAATGAAAATGATCCATTTTTAAAACGACTGATAACTGGCGATGAAAAATGGGTTGTTTACAACAATATCAAGCGGAAAAGATCATGGAGCAGGCCAGGTGAACCAACTCAAACAACATCAAAAGCTGATATTCATCAAAAGGAGGTTTTGTTATCAGTTTGGTGGGATTACAAAGGAATTGTCTACTTTGAACTCTTACCACCCAACCGAACGATCAATTCTGATGTCTACATTGAACAACTAATGAAATTAAACAATGCAGTTGAAGAAAAGCGGCCCAAATTGACAAATCAAAAAGGTGTTGTATTCCATCATGACAATGCAAGGCCACACACATCTTTGGTCACTAGGCAAAAATTAATGGAGCTTGGTTGGGATGTTTTGCCACATCCACCATATAGTCCTGACCTTGCACCATCTGATTACTTTTTGTTTCGATCTTTACAAAACTCCTTGAATGGTAAAAATTTCAATAATGATGATGATGTCAAATCGTACCTGATTCAGTTTTTTGCTAATAAAAACCAGAAGTTTTTTGAACGTGGGATTATGATGCTGCCTGAAAGATGGCAAAAGGTCATTGATCAAAATGGGCAATACATTACAGAATAAAGTTATTTAGTTCCATGAAAAAATTGTCTTTGATTTTCTTTAAAAAATCCGCAATTACTTACTTGCCGACCCAATATTAGAGCACATTATGTTCTTCCTCAATACAATAATAGGTGTGCACTCTAAGGTTCTGCAGGCATGGACAAATGGTGGAGGGCACTAAAGAGAGACCAATGAAAGAGGTAGAGGTGCAAAGTTTAGAGAGGTTAGGTTATCCATGTCCTGGGAATCCGAGGAGAATTATCACTATTAGAATTGAGTCGTTGGCAAAGTGTCAACAATAACCAAGAACAAGCAGAACTGGGAATGGATAATGGTGACAAAATACTGTTGAACCAAATAGGTTTGTAGGTATGAATGTACTAATGTCTAGTAGAAAAACATCCCCAACAGCTTTTTACTCAAGCAAGACCACCTGTGTGTCCACTATGTCATTCATAAAGTCATGTTTCTACTGTGATGTAGAAATGATTCTTCCACTTAATTCTCAGTTTAGCCATTGCATGGGGTTAATAATAAAAATTGTAAAAGAGCCGAAACCGGTGTGGCTCAATGGATAGGGGGTCGGCTTGGGGACTGAAGGGTCCCGGGTTCAATTCTGGTCAGGGGCATGTGCCTTGGTTGCGGGCATATCCCCAGTAGGGAGTGTGCAAGAGGCAGCTGATTGATGACTCTCTCTCATCGATTTTTCTAACTCTCTATCTCTCTCCCTTCCTCTCTGTACAAAATCAATAAAATATATTAAAAAAAAATCGTAAAAGAAACATTGAAAAGATGGGATGGTCAACACTGTGGTACAACAGCACAGCAAAGATGAGATCTCAGGCAAAGGACCTATGTGAGTGACATTAGAAAGATGACAGAATCAGAGATATGAGCATCTTCCCCCATTTCGGAGGAAGTAGAAATCTATCCATGAACAAAAACCCCAGAGGAAATGGGAATAAGAGTACGATGAAGACATACAGTAATGCAGCACACCAAGTAAAGAGAACTGCATAGAAAGAATAAGTAGAAAGACTGGGTGAACAAACATATTTCAAGATAGCTACAGTCTTAAAGAAGGGTCAGAGCCCTAGTGGTTTGGCTCAGTGGGTAGAGAGTCAGCCTGTGAACTGAAAGATCCCAGATTCGATTCCGGTCAAGGGCATGTACCTTGGTTGTGAGTATATCCCCACAGTAAGAGGTTTGCAAGAGGCAGCTAATTGATGTTTCTCACATCGATGTTTCTAACTCTCTATTCCTCTCTGTAAAAATATCAATATCAATATATATATATATATATATATATATATATATATATATATATATATATATATATTTTATTGCTTTGACCGGAGGCTTATAGATACTTGAAGAATCTTAAAAAAAAAAAAAAAAATCTTGGTCAAGACTTTATCATTTTACGCCGAAACCGGTTTGGCTCAGTAGATAGAGCGTCAGCCTGCAGACTGAAAGGTCCTGGGTTCAATTCTGGTCAAGAGCATGTACATTGGTTGTGGGCACATCCCCAGTAGGGGGTGTGCAAGAGGCAGCTGATGAATGATTCTCTCTCATCAATGTTTCTAACTCTCTATCCCTCTCTCTTCCTCTCTGTAAAAATATCAATAAAATATATTAAAAAAATGTTTTTGTTTTTAAAAAAGACTATCATTTTACAAATACTAATCCACGTTAGTTGCTTGTCTACAGAGCCTTCAACACCATCACAAAAATAGCAATGAGAGTCAATAAATAAACATCGTAATTTTAGAATTTAAGATTGCCACGCTAACAAGCCCAGGCTGACAGTATCGTTCAATGCTTCACTGAAGAACTACTCTGAAGAATTATGCTTCAAGCACATATATAATACTAACACTCCCAAGATCCTAGGCTCACAAGATGGGGTTGTATTTTGACAGGTCTTTAACTGGCGTGGTTCAGAAACTATACTCAGTCAGTTCTCCAGATGGTAGGTCATCCTACCTAATAAAAGAGTAATATACAAATTAACCATCACTCTGCAACAAAATGGTGGCCCCCATAGCCACAAGATGGCAGCACCCAGTCCCCTCAGCCCCACTGCTGGAGTGTTTGGGCCTGTCCACCCGAGGGGGCAGATCCAGCCTTCCTGATCCACCACTGCTTCAGAGTCTGGGCCCCTCAGACTCTAGCAGGCCAAGCAGGCAGGCAGACAGAATCGGGACAGGCTTGAGGTAACCAGCATCTAGTCTGGATCCACCAGAGAAGGGGGCAGATTCAGCCTTCCTGCTCCACCAGTGCTGCAGTGTCTGGGCCCCCGTCAGCCCCATGGGGATTCGCGCAGACCAAGTGGCGAAGCTGGATCTGCCCCCAGAC